TTTCAGGAACTGGGAGTTGTTCTAAACGATAGAGCTCTGTCTTAGCTTTCCAACGAGCCATCAAACACGTCGATCGCCTAAGTATTCTCCGAGATATAGGCGTTCACGTGCTAGGTGGTGCTCTTGAATGCAAGTAAAGAAGCTCTCTGAAATTTGTGTTCGAATGTACCTTGTACAAAGAACTCTGAGTTTCACTATGATGGCATGCAATACAAAGAAAACAGATTTATAGCATGCAAACAAGATCGAATCGCACAAGTAACCTCGAACCGCTACACTCGCGAATGTTCGAGTAACATCGAAAGGGTGAAATTCGACTCTCGAATTTCACCGATCCGAATTCTCCTTGGGTCTCGAATGTTCCTGGTGCTGCCATGTGGCACCGAATCGAATGGGTCTTCCGAAGTCAATCCTCAACCCCACGCAAACCTGCAACTCACTCGAAGGTGAGCACAAGTCACACATTCGGTGGGTTGGGGGCATACAAACGCCCCACCACCACCTTGCTTCCAACACACGTAATCTCCAACAAAGGCAGCAGCAACCAATGTTGCTGCTGCCTTGGGCCTGCTGTCACCACAATGCACGCACCTGTGCTGGCCCCAGGCAGCAGCAACCAATGTTGCTGCTGCCTTGGGCCTGCTGTCACCACAATGCACGCACCTGTGCCATGCCCTTCCCTGTCCTGACACGCACAGCCTTTCCCTGCTCCATCTAAACATGCCATGCTATACCAGGAGATGCCCTGCCCTGCCCTGTCATGCCCTGGCTTGCCCTGTCATGCCCTTCCCTGCCCTGCCCTGCCCTGCCCTGCCCGGCCCTGCCCTGCCCTGTCCTGCCCTTATTTGCTACCACTAAGCATGCCATGCCATGCCCCTCCCTGTCCTGCCCTGCACCGCCTTTCCCTCTGCCCTCTAAACAGGCCATGCCACACCAGGAGTTGCCCTGCCCTGCCCTGCCCTGCCCTGCCCTGTCCTGCCCACTCACCTGCCCTGTCCTGCCCTGCTCTGCCCTGCCCTGTCCTGCCCTGCCCTGAACTTCTGTGCCCTGCCCTGTCCTGCCCTGCCCTGTCCTGCCCTGTCCTGCCCTGCAATGCCATGTCCTGCCTTGTCCTGCACCGCCCCGCCATTGTCTGCAACCTCTATGCATGCCATGCCATGACTAGAGGGGCCATGCATGCCCTGCTTTGTCATGGCCTGCCCCGCCCTGGTCTGCTCCTTCCGCGACATGCCATGCCATGCCATGCCATGCCATGCCATGCCATGCCATGCCCTGCCCTGCCCTGCCCTGCCATGGTTCTCCCCTGTCATGCCCCGCTCCGCCCTTCTCCCTTCCCCACTCCAGGCATACCCTACCCCTGCCCTGACCCGCCTTGCTCTGCGGATGAGATTATGGATCGCGACAGGCACACCACCCTAAACTCTGGCCTGTCCTCTTTCTCATTGGCTATAGCTGCAGGTTACCACTGTGAGAGGGATGAGGCTGAAACCCCATCGGATCAAGAGGATGATGTGGCAAATGCAGTGATAAGAGATGCGGAGGAGTGGAGCGACGATAGTGATGAGTGGTGGGTAGCAGGCCGCTATGACGGGGAGGAAGTGGATGTGTGGGTGGCAGGTCAAGATGAGTGAGTGGGTTGTGTATCCATCCCCACTTAGTGACATTGCTCTTGAACATGCCATGGATGAGTGTGTTTTGTGGACTTTGCCGCTCTGTCCTAAACCTAATCATGATACCGTATCGCCCCGGATATAACCGCAGGCCTATGTTAAGCGCATGCGCTTCTATCTGGAGCAATGCGCTTATGGCCGATCCTCAATTAGAAGCGCACCCTCTAAAAAAACCTTACTTATTATAAGCGCACCCTTGCTGTATAGACAAGAATGTCTGTTGTTTTTTTCACTTTCTTTACAACCTTCGTACAAATTACATTACTCTAGCTAAAAATTCAACTAAAACTTTCAAGTCAAATACATTAGACTAGCATCCTAGCCTACACAACATTTTTAAGTTTAGTCTAGCCTAAGGCCTACTCCTCGTCCGACTCAGGCTCCGTGGAGTTGTTGCCAAAGAACCCGTCTGCTCGGATGTCGTCATCAACCTCTACCTCGTGGGATAGCTGACCTCTCCGGTGCGCCAGCACCAGTCCGTCTTCACTCCCGTCAAGGGCATTGCTGATGCCGCAGGTGAGGAACGCTCTCTTAATCAGGTCGGCGGGCACAGCTTTCCACGCCCGTGAAATCCACTTGAGCACCACCTCCGGAGATGGTTTCTTAATGTTCCCTGCACCACATACACGGGGGTGGGAAACACGTGGGTCCACAAGTAGGCAGACATACAGACGAAGCGGTCACGGGAGAACACTTTTGCGTACCTGCGGGTGTCAGGATGTTCATGCCGTCCTGCTCGAACCAGGTCTGGTACTGCTGCCGAACACTCGCCTTGAAGCTTTTGTTGACCGACACATCGAGCGGCTGCAAGTCTGCCGTGCATCCCGCTGGGATGACCGCCGGCACGATGTTGAGTTCCGCGAACTTCGCCTTGACTTCGGGTGTCAGGTGTCCACGATAGGAGTCGAGCACTAGCATGGCGCTCCGGCTCTGCAATCCGAACTTCGGTTTCAGGAACGGCACCACGCCTGCACCGAGCCACTCGATTACGCCCGAGGCCTCCATCCACCCGTTAGCTTGGCAACCGACCACGACATCTGCATACAAGCAAGCGGTGGTTAGATTTTACTTTTGTTTTTTCCCTCGGAAACACGCGCATACGCAGTTTCTTACCGTTCGGAAAGTCACCCTTTGGGAGGGTCTTGCGCTTGAAAAACACCCACGGCTTCAACTTCTCGCCCGTCGCCGTGCACGCCAGCATCACAGTGACTCTCTCTTTATGGTAACCACCACTGCGGATGGGCACCGACTTCACGCCCGTCTGCTCCAACGTGGTAGTCGCCGGCATCTCCAGCCACAAAGGCGTCTGGTCGGCATTGATGATGTAACGATTGTCGATGTCGTAGTCGTGGCGTGCGTCGCGGACAAACTGCCAAAATTCCTTGCACTGCTTGGCCACGTCTGCGCACGGGGAGGGAGGAACGGTTACAAGGGCGGATGAGCACCGCTACAGATAAACAAACATGGGCAAGAAAGTACTGAAATACAAGATAAAATTTCACGATAGGATGACAGTGCACGGACAGGCACTTACGCTGCTGTGTATTTTGCGCCACCTTTGTTTTCATGCGCACGGTGAGATTCCACCGCTTGCGGAACCGCTCCGTCCAGCGCTGACTCGCCTTCCACTTGACGTCCGGGAACAACACCTTCATCACCTCTTTTGACCAGTCTTGCAGCCGGCCGACTGATACTGCCACACCGCGGCGTCGCCAGTCCAGGAGTTGGGCGTACACCTTCATCTCCATGGGTCTGTACCAGGAAGACCTTCCGCGCCCATGAAGTCGACACCGAGCACTGTGTGCAGCCTTGAGCTCCTCCGCTTGGTTTTTCCACTCTGTGAGGCATTTGCGGTGTATGCCGGACTCCCGCGCGACCTCGCTTATCGATGCAGCAAGCTCCAGCCGAACGAGCCACTTCAGTTTCTCCTGGGCGGTGTAGCGCTGCCGTTTGTGTTGAGTCGGCTTGTGCCTGGGAGAGGGGGGGCGGGCATCTCGGTTCTCAGAGGAGGGGTGGGGTCGTTTTTTGTTAATCGACGGATACGTTGGTATCGGCATCTTCTCGCGTGGTGCGTCGCGCCACCAAGACTCCACACCGTCGTCGTCCGCGTCTGTAGCTTCACGATCTGGGAACACGTCCTCCTCGGCGCCCTCTTCACCGTCGACTCCACCGTTGCCTCCAGCATCGCCGTCGCATGTGGGTTGTTTATCGGCGGCCACGTCATCGTCGGCGCCCACAGCCGACTCGTCCCACGTGCAGGCTTCAGGATTTCCCCACCAAGGTGCAGTCGGCGGACCATTGATTTGCCTAGCCTTGGGTGTGTCCGGTTCAGACAACCACTCGTCGAAAGTGGCAGGCAAATATAACTGGAGCACGGGCCGATGGTGACCCCACGCGTCAGGAACAGGAGGAGTCGGAGGATTCGGAGGAGCGGGAGGAGCAGGAGGAGCAGGAGGTGCAGGAGGAGCAGGCGGTGCAGGGGGTGTAGGTGGCACTGGAGGCGCTGGTGGCTCACGTGTATACCACCCGTCCGAGGTTAGTCGCCAGGCGCGGGTTGGTTTCTTCTTGAAAAGGAGGTGCGTCCCATTGAATTCCGCCATGGCTTTGCCAGCCAGGCGGGCTAGACTAGAAGCTGAATGAAAAAAATGAGGAGGAGGGTGCAGAAATGTGCAACGACGGGGACCCCTGCGGGCTAGCGGCTCGGGGTCCTCGTCAATGACAGGCAGGAAACCCCCGCCTACCCCCGTAGAGGAACCTGCGTGGCAGCATATTCGCTGCGCTGGCAGGAAATCTTCCCCACCCTTCGAGAGGGTTCGGAAGAAATGCAGATGCCACGCAGCGCATGCGGCTGTGATTGGGCCGCACGGCAACATCCCCGTCACTCCTGTCACGTTCGATGGTTCTAGACAACTTTGTGCGGTGGGAAACCGAACCGCAGCTGTTTTTGCCTGAAAACCATGCACGATCCCACTTGTTGCATGGTTCGTTGGATTCGCCTTATTGCGGGCTTCAGTTTAGTATGTTTAAAAGTGAATTTCATTTTTTCCTTATTATAGGCGCATGCGCGTATACAGACACCTCAATTAGAAGCGCACCCCCCCAAAAAACACTGTTTTATTATAAGCGCACCTGCGCTTTTATCCGGGGTAATACGGTACCGTATTAGAGTAATAAACTGGCACATATTATAGTTGTAGTTGCAATAGACAATGTAGGCAGTTACACGTGCGACTGAAATTAGCCGGGTGGAACTACTCCAGTGCCGCATGCGACAATTTATAATGATGCCAAACCCATTGGCAACCAGTAACATCCAAAGCGGCTCGCCAGTCATGGCGAGCGAAGGAATGGTGTGGGGCAGTCAGGAAAGAGCGGCAGGGCATCAGGTTGCACCTCCCACAACACCAACACTGTGGTGCTGCTGGCCAGGGCACTCAGATCCTGACAGGGTGGGGCAGGAAGGTGGAGATATGACAGAACACATCTCAGCATTCAGCCCAGACGTTCTCGACTCATCGATGCTGTTTGCACTTTTCGAACATGAGCGTGTTCCTAAGTTTGCTGCCCTGCCCCCTAGTTGCACCTGCGTACCCCCTCCTCCTTCCGGATGTGAATGTAATCCAAAAAGGTCTGCAAGTAGTTGGGTGGAGGCAGGAAGGGGGGGGAGAATGGTCACTGAGCTTGCACACAAATCTGTTGCGCTGCCCCACTGTTGCGCGTGCATCCCCCCTCCTCGCTGCGCAGCCACATGGGGAGAAAATGGAGAGGCACATGGGGAGGGATTGGAGCGGCCTGTATTGAGGGATTGGAGAGGCACACGGGGAGGGATTGGAGAGGCACATGGGGAGGGATTGGAGAGGCACATGGGGAGGGATTGGAGAGGCACATGGGGAGGGATTGGAGAGGCACATGGGGAGGGATTGGAGAGGCACATGGGGAGGGACAGGAAAGACGGTGAGATAGAGGGAGAGGAGGGGCATATGGGGTGGTCGAATGCTCACCTGGTGCGTGAGTCTCACCTCTAAGAGGGTGGAGGTAAGCAGGACGGAGGGCGGAGGGAAGAAGGGCAGAGGGATGGGGGAAGCATTGCAGAAGGAGGGTGGGCTACTGGGCGGAGGGAGGGAGGAAGCTGGGCGGAGGGAGGGAGGAAGCTGGGCGTAGGGAGGGAGGAAGCAGGGAGGAGGGAGGGGGGAAGCAGGGAGGAGGGAGGGGGGAAGCAAGGAGGAGGGAGGGGGGAAGCAGGGAGGAGGGAGGGGGGAAGCAGGTGTGGCAAAGGAGAATAGACTGGGGGGTAAGTAGAGCGGGTTGAAGGAAGGGAGAGAGACCGTAGTGAGTAGAAGAGCGAGAGGGATTCGGCACATATAGAAACAGACGGGGAAAGGGAGAGGTGGGATGGAAGGCGTGGACAGCAGGCGGCAGGCACAAGGGGGAGCAGCATTGCGGCAGAGTGTGAGAGAGCGACGCTCATCACTTGTGCCAGGGGATCCAGTAATCTAAGAACTTGAGCATGCGCATGCGTGTTGCTGCGCACCGCGTAGAGATCGCCGTTGGCGCGCGAGTTGGCATCCCAGTGAATCGCACGATCAGTGAATACCACGTCGTACCCCAGCGCCAACGAGCTCCGCACCACGTGCACCTTCTGCCACACCTGCGCGCGGATGAGAAGGGAAGGATTTGAGGTGGTAAGGTGGGAAGGCGGTAAGGTGGGCAGGCGGTAAGGTGGAAGGGAAGGGGATGGGGGGAGGCAGGGAAGGGGATGGGGGGAAGCAGGGAAGGGGATGGGGGGAGGCAGGGAAGGGGATGGGGGGAAGCAGGGGAGGGGATGAGTGGAAGCAGGGGAGGGGATGGGGGGAAGCAGGGGAGGGGATGGGGGGAAGCAGGGGAGGGGATGGGGTGAAGCAGGGAAGAGGATGGGGGGAAGCAGGGAAGGGGATACGGGGAAACAGGGAGGAGGATGGGGGGATGCAGGGAAGGGGATGGGGGGAGGCAAGGAAGGGGATGGGGAGAAGCAGGGAAGGGGATGGGGGGAAGCAGGGGAGGGGATGGGGTGAAGCAGGGAAGAGGATGGGGGGAAGCAGGGAAGGGGATGGGGGGAGATAGGGAAGGGGATGGGGGGAGACAGGGAAGGGGATACGGGGAAACAGGGAAGAGGGTGGGGGGATGCAGGGAAGGGGATGGGGGGAAGCAGGGTAGGGGATGGGGGTTCGAAACGCTGTTCGATTGGGGTGGCGTTGGCGACCATCTCTGTTCCTCCCCATCTGTTCCTCTCCCTCTGGAGTTGGTGAGATGGGGAGGGGGGAAGAGCGGATGGAAACGCTGATGACGAGGGGAAGCGAGAGTGACTGGGAGGCAAGGGCGACGACGGGACGTGCGAGCGACGAGGGGAGGCGAGGGCGGCGAGGGTCGGCAAGGGTGATGAGGGGAAGCGTCAGCGACGAGAGGGAATGTGGGCGGTGCGGGTCGACGAGGGTGATCAGGGGAGCGCGGGTGACGATCTGAAACGCGGTATGTCTACTATCAGCGATTGCGACGAGGGGATGAGTGAGTAACGTGGGAAAGCACGGGCGACTAGGGGAACATATGCGACCAGAGGGTAGGCGAGGGTGATGAGGGAAAGCGCGGGCGACGAGGAACACTGTCTGACATGGGAAAGGGCGGCCGACGAGAGGGAACATATGCGACTAACGGCAGCGTGCGTCACGCGAAGCAGTACAGCATTCGCGTGAACGACCCGTGCCTAAAACAGGTACGGTTGTGACACGAGCCTGAACCGCAGCAAGTGTGAGAAGGGCCTGCGTAGGCGACGCGAACTTGAATGCGCGACGCGAGCAACGCTCAGATCGTTCACTAACGCAAGTGCCGCGGGGGAAGGGGTTGTAACACGAGACCGGTGACGAGAGGGGGAGGTCGGAGCATGCACTGACTAAGATGGTTGGGGTGGATAGTTATCTTCTTTCCGCACAAAAAAAAACCCTATAAATGACTCGCTTGTGCCAACTAACACTAGTTTTTGCCTCGGAGCCTCCTAGTCTATGAGTTTTACTTGGTAAGCAAGTTATGTGGGTGGTGAACAGTGCATCTGGTAGGTGATCATCGCGTCAGTTCTGTTTTTGGCAACTCGGGTTCCTTTGTCGCAGGACGATTGCCTGGGCTCGAGAGAGTTTCATCAAAGAAAGTAGAGTAACTCTGTTTTTGGCGATTTCAAGTTCAAAAATCTTGAACTTGAAAATTACCATGCTGTACTCGGGCTTTAAATGCCTATCTCCGCATTTATCCAATGACAAGAAGCAACATCCCCTCCCCATCCCTCACATTTTCATATCCCATAGTTTGATGGAACCATTGTTTTCTGGATTTAGAAAATGATCCAGCGTGGTGTAGTTTATTATGCTCCAAATCTCAACCGCAGCCCCATGATTTGCACGACTAATATCTGCTTTGCTCTCATTCGCTGAAACCGCATCTTCAAATTCAAACGATTGGGCTTGCCGCGTTTCAGACTGACGCCTTGACGGTGCTTCAGATGACATGGCAATGGGAAAAGATCATACAGTGGCCGAACAGTGCCAGGGAGGTTTTCGAACAAGGACCGAGAGGCCCGGAACTAACCAAACCACTGCTTTAAAAGGTATTTGCAGAGAGGTATAATGTATTGAACGTATGTCTGTTAACAGTTTGCATTTTCGCTCGCGCGTCATTTTTCATGGAAATGTTTACTGATTCATCACCTTCCACCCAATAGCGTCGTTTAGCAAGCCAGAAACTCTTAGGGCAGCCAAAAAAACTAAAACCCCAAGGGGAACCTGGATGTATTTTCGGGATGGATCAACCCTAAAAACAGGAACCTTTGTTGTGTTTAGGGTTGATGCCTCCCTAGTCGCATCTGTTACGAATAGTAATACTTGAATATTACTGTGCACTCCTCACCGCATCAAAGAGAAGCACGCAGTATCGCGAATGAACGCGAAGCGTCAGACGGTTGGAATCGACTCGAAGCGTCAGACAGTTGGGACGCATCTGGACCGTCGGAGCAGACAGCATCAGGCAGCTGCAGGCAGGATGGTTTCGGTGGGAACAGTTTCGTAAATGTTCGCGCCGCACGGTTGGGAATGTATTTGAATAAGGGAATGTACCCCTTAGAGTACATGGCTAGCTAGGTCGTTTCATCTCCCCTGTACTCATATTTATATTTGCTGTATTTGCATGTTTTAAAATCATCTCAAAGCATTTTACATTCACTCTGCTATTGAGGTCAAGGGCCCACCAACATCACTTCTCGGCGTGCGAACCTTCCTGAGTAGATCCTAGGCCACGATCAACTTCTGATCGCAGCATGGTATGAGAGCGGCTCGGGAATCCTTCGCACTGCCACTCCCGAAAATTACGACATTCGGAAAGTGGCGTCCGGCACACACTCGCGTGTGAGAATGGCCGGAGGATCTGGTGGTCAGACGAATCTGACGGCTGAAGCGCAGCCCAACCCGGCTGCGACAAGCGAGGAAACGACGACGATCCCTTCCGCCGTCCTCGCACAACTGCTTCAGCGACTCACGAGCCTGGAGCAAGGACTCCAAACATTGCGGAATGGCGACGCGGGAACCTCTTCCCAACCCACTCAACCGGCGTCAAACGGCCAGAACTCCGCCCCGCAAGGCTTCTCCCTAGATACGAGTGGCTCAACCCCCAAGACTCCCTGTCCCAGCGATGAAGCAATTCTCTCCGCGCAATCAAGGTTTTTGAGCATATCAAAAATAAAGACAAGTGTGTGCTTTGACGGCAGAGACTTTTACACCTGGAGCTTCGAGCTGGAGCTGCTGCTGCAAAACGCGCAGATTTATCATTATTTCGACGGGAGCTACTCGGGACCTGCTGAGGACACCGACGATGCCAGGACTCGCTATTATAACGAGTCCCTGATGGCGTACGGGATCCTTCTGCGTAACATGTCGCCGGCGGAGCAGCTGAACATTCGTTCATACAAGACATCGGCTGCCCCAGCCCTCGACGCTTGGCGCCACCTGAACGGCGTGTATCAGCCCAAGGACTCCGTCTCCTCGAGCCGACTACTCCAGCAACTGCTGGAAACTAAGATGACCTCAGGGGAGAAGGGCAACAGCTACATCAACCGCTGTCGGAGCCTTCGCGATCAAATCGCGAAGTTGGGAAGCTCGATTTCCGATGAAATCTTCGTGAACATTGTGCTTCAAGGGCTTGGCCCAGAGTGGCGGCCCTGCAAGGCGCTCCTCCGACAGCAGGGGGTCATCTCGGAGGCCGCCCTTTGCGCCGCCCTTCTCGTCGAACAACGGGATATGGATCAGCAGCGACCAGCGCCACGACGAGAACGCGAACAGCTCGCCTTCTACGCCGACAACAATGAAGAGCGACGACCGCAGCGCCTCTACTGCAAAATCTGCAGAAACGTTGGGCATTTGGCTGATCGATGTAAGTTCCGATCTCGCCCTCGCCAGACCAATCCGAGCAACTGGTCCGGCCGACAAGACGCACGAGGCGACGTGCGTCCAGCCCAAGGGTATCAACCCCCACCCGCGCGCAATCTGAACTCAACCGTTCAGCATCAGCAGCAGCAGCCATCAACTGCCCCTACGCGCAACGTCATGAGCAACATGGCCATGACACGCGAGTCACGTCGTCGCCGTGTTCGCTCACCCTCACCTGATCCAGCACCGCACCCCATCGGCGCGTTCACCAACAACAACCCGTTCAGCCCGCGCCGCGACTTCAACGACGACGACGACCAGGACTGGAACCTCCCAGTCCCGCTACTTGAAAGTCCCCCGCACATACCAGACATGCGGGTGGCGCCACTTGATTGGCTCTCGCGCGAGCAATTTTTGAAGTTCGACACCCCGCACATCGTCACACCGCGATTGGCGCTGCTCGCACGTGACGACAACAAGCGCTACAACACCTAGTACCTGGACAGCTGCTGCGGCGAGCATATGGTGGGCTCCGAGCGTTACATATCCAATGCCGTCCCCACCCCTACAGTCACTTACGTCACTGTGGCGAACAACACGCGCCTGCGCGCAAGCGCACAAGGCATTGTCGTGCTCAAAGCACGTGGAAGCCGCACGCACATCACGCTTAACGATGTGCTGATCGTCCAGAACCTGCGCTTCAACCTCCTGTCCGCCGCACAGCTCATGGACTGCGGCGTCGACCTCAGCACGGATCGCGCGACGCGAGACATCCTGCTGCACTACGAATCGCGCAAATTTCCCCGCAGGCAGATCGGACGAGCGCACTCCGAAAATGGAGTGTATGTCCTAGATTTCGACATTCCCGACTACAGCGGCGACTCGCACGAGTTGATTGATCTCGTGCCACTGCGCTTCGAGCACATCCACCGCAGGGATTGGAAGCACCCTGACGGCAGACCGTGGGTGCCGCATCATCCCCACCCACGCGAAACGGCGTTACACAACCCCGATCCAGATGGCATCTGCAGGGATTGTCACACGCCGACGACATCAACGAGCGCGATTGCCGGCCGCGGACTCGCCGCCATCGCTGAAGCAGAGCGCCACGCGCCCCCAGAGGAAGGGATGTCGCAGCTCGAGCTTGAAGTTACTACCCACGGCATTTTCGGCACGCCAGAGCATCCCCTCATCGGTCCCACCTTCAAGGCATGCTGCGCGGAACTGGCGTCGGCACCTTTGATGCCCATGGCGAGCCGCGACCCTACACCTACGAGAAGTTTCTGGCCATCTACTCTCATCGACGCGACTCGTCGAAGAAACTCACCGTGGAGCAAGAGGAAGAATTGGCGCGCCGCGAAGCTGAGGAGCTTCGCCAGCAAAGCCTCGCAGAAGCACGTGGGACCTTCGCTTGCGCCACCTGGGGAGCTGAGGCTGAAGAAAGTGCCTCCAATGAAGGGGGGTGGGGGAGCGCTGGAGGATGGGGAACAAGTGACACTAGCGGCTGGGGAGACAACGGTGGAACCTGGGCCAACGCGAGTGGCGGATGGGGCGCCGCAACTAGCGCCGACAATAGCGGCTGGGGTACTTTCCGCGAAGAACGAAAGGGGGGAGAGGATGAAGCTGAGGAAACTGAGGCAACACCTGCAGTCGTTCCTCTTGGTCGTCCCCTGCGTCACATTCCACTCGCACCACCTCCTCCTGACAACCCCCCGCGTCGCAATCCATGGGACACCATCATCTGGGGCAACGAGCCGTCAACCCCGCGTCGCACCGTCTACGGACCTGCCCCTGAGCCACGCGAACCAACCTTCGTCCCTGGAACCATCCCCGGGACCAACATTCTGCTCTCTGAGATTCGCGACAGAGAGTTCTTGGCGCTGATGCTGACTACCGCGCCAGAAGAAGAAGAAGCAGAGGGAGTAGCAGCAGAACCTGCTCCTGTACCTGACGAAGACCCTGAGGAAGCGCGCGCGCGCTACATGCGCACCTCCGGCTTTCGTGCTGACGATACTCTCTGGCACCAGCGCCTCGGACACCCTTCACGCGCGACGCTGAAAAACTGCATCGACGCAGGCGTCTTCGCTCATGGCGCACTCCTGCGCCCTGATGGCTCCGAAGTGAGAGGCGCGACACATCCGCGCAACTGCACCGTCTGCCCCGAAGCTGCGCTGAGCCACCAACCGTTCCCGCTGCTCGAACCTGGAACAAACCGCTACCCCAAGCTGCATAAGGTG